GTAGCTGAGATGAATATCTCGTTTACTGTGCTCGGTCATGAGTAGTGCTGGCAATGCGAAACATTCAACCTTCACTCCAAAAACTTAAAACATGATAAAGAAAATACCGATCCCGACTGCGATGTTTGCCAAAAATGAAAAAGTGACCAAGAAAATGCCATGGAAGCGTGAACTGAATATAAAAATGACGTATCTACAAAAGCAGGATCTGAATCATTATTTGTTTCTGCAGACTTGCAAAAGGTGGTTATTATATCACAACTATAATAAAGTGAATTTAAAGAAATCACTGTGAAATGTTTAAAGAAATCGTTTTTACACCAAGGATCATTTGTTTTAACGAAAGCCTTGTTGCCCTGGAAAAGCAATCCCTTGCAAATAAGCAGTCGCTCTTGTTTGGCATGAAGGCGTGGCTGGAAGAAGTAAATCTGATCTAATATCAACCTTTTACAAATTCCTGTTGTTTCACCGTGATGTTAAAGAAATAACAATTTGGCTAGATAATTGCGCTTTGCAAAACAAGAATTGGGCCTTGTATTGCTTTTTTGTTTTATTATTAACTCGTTAGAAGTAAATCTAAGTTTATTAAAATTAAAATATTTACAAACTGACCACACTTTCATATCCGTTGACTCTTTCCAAGTGGAACAGTCTTTAAAACAAATAGGAAAAGTATTAGATTTCGAGGATTTTAAAATGTCTATCAAAAAATCAAATAGTTCAAGGGTAGAGATGATTGAAATGAGCCTTAATGATTTTCATGATTTTATTGACTATTCTTAAAATTACACCTAAACCTTATTTAGCAAATTTTGTTGAGGTTCAATTTAAAAAGGGCTCTAAAAACCTTTTTTATAAAACCAAATTTAGTGGGCCATTGATTGAACTCAACTTTCTAAACTTGATTTTGGAATGGATAGACGTGTGAATGCGTTATTAAGAAGTAGAGACTCAAATACTGTATATTAATTATGTTGTTGATTTATTTATTTTCAGTTGTTGATTAAAAATTGCATTTTTCTCTTTAAAATTTTTGCATCTGGAGTGTAATTTTCTTTTTATAACTGATAATTCGTCGAAATTAAATCCATTTTGCCGTTTTTTAGAAGCTTTTAATCTCGATTTGACACCGAGGTCTGCAAGGTTTCACAAATAACTAGGGGGGTGCAAGACTTTTGAAAGCGAGTGTAGTTACTAGTGGTACATGCAGCAGGTTTTGTGCAACTGTGCTAGTTTGCCGAAGGTGAGAGCCTGAGGACTTTCCCACTTTTCCATTCTTATGGCCGGAGCGAAGGAGCATCCAACGAAGTTGGTCTCCTAAGGCCAGTTCCATTTCGCCGCAAACAGAACTCCGACATTCATAGGCGGAAATACGATTTTCCCTATTCATTTCCCAAGCAGCTCCCAACTTATTTAACTTAATATTGAGAGGGAAGTGTTCGAGATTTGATTAAAGAGTTGTCACTGGGTTCAGGTTGATGAAAGGGTGGAAATTTCGTTGGTTTTAGTTTGCCGAGCATTAGCGAATTGTACTCAGTTACAATTCCTTACAATATTAATTAAGTTGGTTTTATTTCTTTCGTCTCCTTGGTTTACTTTGAGAGCTTTCACCTATTGCAGCCAATCGTCTTATCATTTTTTATTTCAAATGTCTTTAGTTAATTAAATTAGTTCTTTAGTATTCACTTTCTCCTACTGAGTCGTTGGTTTCCGCAATTCGCGGGTGGCGGATATGCTATTTTTTTTACTTGTTTTTGAAGTGATAACTTCTTATTGCACGGTGCAAACTCAATACAATTCTCAGTTCTCTCTAGCACGCACACAACCGTCCGCGAGTTACATCTGGTTCCATTAGGCCGGTCGTCTATTATAATAGTTTGTAGACTGTGGTCCGTTCGTGTGAATATAATAGTGTGTAGTCCGTGGGCCGGTGGCATTTGGATGCGTTTTCGTCCGAACTTCTTTCGTCAAAAATCGTTCGAAATGAAGCTAATGGTCCAAACCATTATGAGTAAAATAAAACCTTAGGCCGGACGTCCTTTGTAAGAATTTCGTCTGATTTCTCATATGTGGGTATAGTTTTTTTATCGTATGAAATAAGCACACGTATACAGGGTAAATATATAGGTTGATTCACAACCTTGTGGACACAGAACTCACTCAAAAGAAGTCGAGTTTCCATTCCAGTTTTTTTCTCAGCTCTATGGTTAACGAGATACAGGGTGTTGAAGTTTCAAAAAAATGTTGGTATTTTCTCTTTATCTCCTCCAGTTTATGAGATATTTTGCTCAAATTTTAACGTAGAATAACGTTTAGACCGTTTACCCGCAGGTAAGACGACTGGTTGTGAAAATCTACTGGGTGTTCTTTTTTCTAGGGGTATACCCCCTTTTACCCCCAGAACTTTTTCGTGATGCACCAGACACTTTGACCGAACACACTTTTGAATTTGCTGTTCAATTTAAGAATTTTCTGATCTCTTGCAGTTTTTTCGTATCTGTCTTCGTTTTCCAGTTATTTGCACATATATAAGTCCATGTGGGGTTTCTGGGTGATTTTCCATGAATTTTCTGATCATTTTTTGCGTCCTTTTGTTGACATTTTTTTGTGAAAGAAATTAATTTCATAATAAATTGAAATATTCGTTACATTTTGTGTACTTTTTTGGGGATTAGCTGACAGCCGATAAACCTCAATTATTGTAAATTCAATTAAAGTAAAAAAAATAAATTTTAAAGTTAACTCGTCAACCATCCCTATTTTGACTTCAACTTGCACTTGAAGCTTTCACAGAACAATGTAAACAAAAGGACACAAAAAAATGTATAAAAAAATTCATAGAAAATCACCCAGAAACCCTACATGGACTTATATTTGTGCAAATATCTCGAAAACAAAGACGGATGCGAAAAAACTGCTAGAGATCAGAGAATTCTTAAATTGAACAACAATTGCAAAAATGTGTTCGGTCGAAGTCAGTGGTGCATCGCGAAAAAGTTCTGGGGGGTAAAAGGGGGTATACCTCTAGAAAAAAGAACACCCAGTAGATTTTCAAAATCAGTCGCCTTCCCTACGGCTAAAGGGTCTAAACAGTAGCTGTCTATCTTAAAAATTTGAGCAAAATATCTCATAAACTGTAGGAGTTGTGTGGAGGAGGAGAGAAAATACCAAAATTTTTTTCAAATTTTAACACCCTGTATCTTGTTAAACATAGGCCTGAGAAAAAACTTAAATGGAAACTCGATTTGTTTTGAGGTTTTCTACACACCCCGGCTGTGGGTCCATAAGGTTGTGAATCACCCGGTATGATACTCATCGTAATTATACAACTGTTAATAATAATGGATGATTTTCTATGGAAAAATAGTGATTTTGTTGTGTGTCTTGAGAAGACGCTTACAACATTAGCATTACAACATAGCAGTTACATTAGCAAAACGAAAATAATTTGGATTTTTTTTCAGTCTCTTCAATTCCATCATTTATACATATGATGATTTGAAAAAAATCATAAAGACCTTTTAGTTTTTCAACATCGATTTCAGGGCGGTGCGCTAAATATTTGCCGTTCAATCAGAAACACTGCCAACCTGCGAAAAAATCCCATTTATTTCTGATAGAGCGCAAAATTTAATGCCATTTCTTGAATCAAAGTTGCAATTAGAGATGATAGTAAATCGAGAACAAGCTACAACAAGCAGCAGAAAATCGAGTGTCACAACTAACGTTTCTTATTAAAATTGTAAATACTTATCGTAAATACCAGCGAGCCAATTGCAACTATTGAAGAATGTTATTTATTGTAAATATAAAATAAATTTTACATCCATCGTCAATTACCCAGATGGTTCCACTCATGGACGATTTTTTAAGTTACGTGATTATTTTTAACACCCGTTTGGAAAAACTTGTTTCACAAATGATTAATTTCTTGGAAAGAGATCATTTGTGAAAGGAGGAGAGAAGAAACTGAGTTTCTCTCATAAAAAGTGTCTGGAGAGCGAACGTTTGTTTAGTTTTTGAAATTGATAATAAAAGAGTCTACTTTTCAAAACATTTCAATATTTTTATCCACTTTAGACACTGACTTATGCATGCCCTACAGACTACAAGAACGCACGTTTCATTTCAATTTATTTTCCAAATTTTTTTATAAATTTCAACATCCTGTAAATCGGTAACGAAGGATCTTTGGGCTATCGTTTATAAAGCAAACTAGAGTTATTTTCGGACGTAGAATACGTGGTTAAAATAATGCCCCTTCCTCATGAAACATCTTGTATGTCATCTTCCATTGCATCTTAAGTCTTTCTCTCCGCCTTCTAGGTTTCGGGAAAAAACGAAATCGTTCCTCCTAGAAGGACCGTTTTGTTCTATAAGTGATTTTCACGCGGAATAAAATATCTTTCTAAATTTGTCTTCTTTAACTAGTTTACTCTACTAAATTTTTCTATTGGGGCGTCACATGCGGCAGCTACCAAGGGGTTTATATGGATTTGACTAGAGATTAGTGGTATTGTGTGTGCAAAATAGTATTTTGGGGTCATCAATTTGTTTATTTGGCAATTTGTTATTATGATTTATTGAATAACATCATGAGTTACAGGCGCAACAGAATCGAATTTGGTTCAAGTTCAGTTTATTGTTTTATGTTATACATATATGGAGATTGTGTATGTATGTATACTGCACTACCTGGGAGGTATTTGTACTGTTCATTATTTATGATGTTTACTGTATGTGCAATATTGCATTGTTTTTACCATTTGTGACAATAAGGCATACATTTGATGGTGGTTGTTATGCGTTGTTCTTAGGAATCTTCAACGATGGTACTGAACTACGCATATCGAACATTCGACACGAAGACATCGGCGACTACACATGCATCGCACGAAACGGTGAAGGCCAGATATCACATACAGCGAGAGTGATTGTGGCTGGGGGAGCTGTAATAATGGTACCACCAATCAACCAGACTACGCAAGAGGGCGAAAAGGTGTGGAAATGAACGTTTAAGAAGGTTGGCGTGAAATTGGTACCTCCACGTTTTCAGGTGCAATTTACTTGCGAGGCCAAGGCACTGCCTGGCAATGTAACAGTCAAGTGGTACCGGGAAGGAGCACCTGTGACCGAATTGGCTGCTCTGGAGACCAGAGTTAATGTTAGGAAGGACGGTGCATTGGTGATTAATCCAGTGATTCCAGAAGACTTCGGTCAGTATCTTTGCGAAGTGAGCAACGGCATTGGGGAGCCGCAGAGCGCGTCGGCGTATTTGAACGTTGAATGTAAGTATATTGTAACGGAAATGGCCTGGGGTACTCACGTTTGGCATGGGGGGATCGAAATTGATGGTATTTCAGTAAATGGGAGCCCCATTTGCGCCCCATTTACTGTCAAATATGACACGGACAAGCGGGAAGTTTCGCACCTGGGCTGGAGATTTCGAGAACCTTCTGGGTTACCTGGAGGAAACTATATAAGCGGCGACCAGAGGGGAGGAGTGAAGTAACAGCAACGACGGGATGCAGAAAAGGTTAAACCCCGCGAGTCGGAATTATTGTTTCTGAAGTTGACGGTAATTTTGATGTTAGTTTGTTCCTGTTCCGTAATTAAAGTTATACCGAGTTGAATAGAAGTTGGAAGCTGAATAAAGAGTTTGATACCCGGCCATCCACGGTACATTTGGTGTTAGAAGTGGGATTTACCGGAAACCAAGTTGAATTTTGATGAAAACAAGAAGTAAATCAAAGAAGGAAGACCCTGGAATGGAGAGCCCCAATTTGATTGCACTGCTCATGCAGATGAAAGACGAAATGTGCAAAATGTATGACAAAATGGAAGACAACAGTAGGAAAATGATGGGCGAAATGAGCGACAACAGTAGGAAAATGGACAAAATGAATGACAAAATGGACGACATTAAGAAAGTGATAAAAGAAATTAGATTTAAAATAGACGACAACGCTAAGAAATTTGAAGACCTGAAAGCAACCGTTGAAGGCAAACTAAAGAACATCGAGAAAGTGACTGATGATTTGGAAAACATTGAAATCGTGGACATTCCTGCAGTAGTGGAAGAGCCAGAATATAAAAATCCACTAGTTCAAGAGCCGAAAGTTGATCGAGAAGATGGTATTGTCGAGATCACGAATGAACAAATTGCTCAGGAGCATTTAGAGGAAATTCAGGTGGAGCCCGAAGTTGCTAGTTCTGATCAGAAACTGTCCTTAGATGGTGAAATAACTGATTCAGTTCTCTCTCAAGGAGATGATGTGGCTAAAACTGATAACGCTTCTGAAAACTTACCAGGTATTACACTATCAAAAGTAACTGTTTCAACAGAGGAAAACTGTCAAGTTGCGAAAGAAGTAGACTCTGTGGAAGAAACATTAACAGCGGCGAAAGAGAAGGAAGTGGTAAAGACGGAAACTATAGCAATTTTGGAATTACAGGACGAACATGCTGAATAACTCCCATCAGAAAAGGTGATTACGGTCGAAGCGACTATTGTGAAGACTGAAGAATTATCGGTTGCTGATAAAACTGTGAGTGATAAAATCGAAGACCGACCACTAGGCCAGTGGAACATGAGTATATAACTATGTAGAAAAATGCGCAAAATCTGCTTGAATCAGCAAAAACTAAACCCGAAATAATGCTCAGAAGGGAAACTGTGGAACCGGACTTAGAAAAAGTAGTTTGTTTGAGTGAAAAATCATCTGATTCTGAGTGCAATGGGCCAACTAGCGATAAACACGTACATGATTTGCCAGCATTAGATGAAGACGCCAATTTAATTAAAATCGCTTCTGAAGTTGAGCAATTTTCCGACCCAGAATTGCCGATAGACGAAAACATTCCCATCGAAGAAAATGCGCCAGCCGAAGCTCAGCCTGATGTAGAATCCATAAACGCTGCATCGAATTTGCAGACTCTTTTAGCAGTGGCGTCATTACAGAACGAATCTGTTGTTGACACCACCAGAGAGCATCGACGGTTAAGCGAAAATGAAATGAGGGAAAAGGAAGCCATCGATAATAGACGAGCCAACTTGCTGAGGAACGAGCGGGCGCTGCAGTATCTGTTCGATGCCAATGAGGCCGAGAGGTGGATGAGCGAGCAGGAGCTCTACATGATGGTGGAAGATCGGGGCAAAAATGAGACCAACGCCAGGAGCTTCATGAAGAAGCACGAAAGTCTGGAAGCGGCCGTTGAAGCTTATGCGGACACTATTCAGAGGGCCAGGTGAAACTGTAAAGGCCCTGTCGGCTGAAGGACATCCTTTGGCCGAGCAGGTCGCTGTTAAACAGTCGCAACTGGACAAGCTATATGCCGGACTGAAGGATTTGGCGCAAGAACGACGCGCTAAGCTGGATGAGGCC